ACACACACACACACACACACACACACACAGACGCACACACACAGAGCCTTTAGTTTATAAAATTATACACTTCAATCCAATCAATTTATCAACATAATCAACTCACTGATTAATTATTATTATTTGATACATCCCAAATGAGCAAATGATATTAATGGATAGAGACGTTATTTGTCTAGGAAGATAATTATTTCATTATGAAGTTCTGATAACTTTGCACTGTTTTCAAGATACCAGCATATAGCTCTGGTATCCTCTGGAGATCTTCTATTAAAGTATTAACCAGGGCTAATTCTGCCTAACTTCCAAACTTAGACAACATTGGACAGGCGCTGATACCTTCAAGGACAAAATTATCTTAATCGTTAAAACGTAAAAAGGAATAGTGAGTTTTGTGCAATTGTGTGGGAAACAGAAGGAGTCAATACATGATAAATAAATTCTGTTTCACACATTCAGAATAAGAACTGTGAATAAGAATAAATAAGAAGCATATATTATTATACCGTCAATAAAATCTAAGGCCTTTAAAAGGTATTCTCAACAGGCAGCAGTGAAAATAATGAGATGTATTTGGATTGTTGACAACTCTTTTTTGCTTGTGGAAGCAACATTAAATAATAACCATTTTTCTCATTTCAGCGTTCAGGCGGTGCCTTAGCTATTCCTCTGTGTGCATTTCAAGGAACTGTCTCTCTTCAAGCTCCCACAGGAAAAACCCTCTCTTTATCTACATATGAGGTAAGCTCAGAAGGACAAAAAATCACTCCCACATCCAAGAAAATTGAAGTGTATCGTTCCAAGAGTGTGGGCCATGAGCCAAATCCCGAGGATTCTCCAACCACATTTACTGACACCAATGTGAAGATTCACTTAGAGGTGCTTGAAATTTGTGACAATGAAGAAGCCATGGACACTGTTTCCATCATTAGTAATATTAGCCAATCCTCTGCCCAGGTCCGCTCTCCATCCTTACGTTATTCTCGGAAAGAAAATAGATTTGTCTCATGTGATTTAGGAGAAACAGCATCTTATTCACTCTTTATACCGTCCAGCAATCCAAACAGTGATCTTAACATATCTATTCCTGACACTGTCGAAGCTCACAGGCAGAATAGTAAAAAACAGCACTTGGAAAAAGAGGGTTATCAAGAAGAAATACAAATGTTAAACAAAGCATACAGGAAAAGAGAAGAAGATGGGCTTGGCAACTGAAATGGAGGAAAAAAGGGCTGTGAATAATTTGTACCCTCATTTTTAAAGTTTGCTTCGACCCTCAACCATTTATCCATGAAATTTGCAGAAACAATTGAATAACATTAATGCATTCACAACAGAATGCATTAATTACATACTTTGTCCAAAAGCTGTTTAAGCCGTACTGCTATATATGTACTAGGGAAGGGCAGATTTCCTTCTCTGTCTTCTGAAGAATTACTACTGGAAGTTTGCTTGATGAGGTAGTTTAAATCTCTACTTTTAACGTCAGTTTTGCTGCACTAGCAATGGAGCCAAAAGTGAGGCCTTTGAGAGATATGTAAGGGAGGCTGAGAATCCTGGATTAAAAATTGGGGTTAAAGGATTGCAGCCTCCCAGCCAACAATCTCAGGGGGACAGTCTTCTTTATAAAAAAAAAAGAGCTGATTTCTAGCTTTATTGAGGCAAAATGAATTTAGCCTCAATCTTATGATTACATTGTAATATTTTTGATAAAATGATAAAGATGGTTTTGACTTCCCACCTGGCCTACAGCTTGACATTCTTTAATGGTATGATATCCAATTACTAACCAGACCTGACTCTGCTTGGTTTCCAAACCCAAACCACCAGATGCAACACTAGTCAGTCTATTTCTTTCACCAGAAAGGAAATTGCTATCATCTTTCAGTATATTTAACCAACCAAACGATAGTCCATTTGTGAACAGTGTTAAGTGTAGAGATTAATGCAAAATGGCCACTTGTTTATAGAAAGAACTTTTTGGTTATTTTAACCCAATGATCTTATTATCCTCCTGGAGTTGTGATTAATGACCATTGAAAAGAGTCCCCTTTTGCTTTCAAGAAGGCATGTAACTTGCTTATTTCACTAATATAGTATACTAGCTGATAACCTGGCATTGCCTGGGTATTTATTTATAAGGGGGAAATGTCTGGGCTAAACGTAATTTCTAACGTTGGATTTTCCCCCTGATCAGAGGAA